TCACATCTACAATTCTAAATTAAGATTATTTTTTAAAATTAAATTTATGTTAAGAGTGTGAATCATATAAGTCTTACTAATATAATTGTCATTATTTTGGTTTAATTATTTTAAAATTTAATTAAGTTTACATATTTAATTTTTTAAAATAATTTCTTTATTACCCTGAAAACTAATTCTATGTTAAAATTATGTAAATTTCGTTTTTTATCTATAATTTATAATAATTAGAAACAACATAATATGCACTAAATAAATATTTTAAATTTATTTATTTTACTTATGTGGATGCTTAGGTGAACATCCTAAATGGAGAAAAAAATCTCCTATTATATATATATATATATATAGATTTTTGATTTATTTTGGTCCAATCTTTTTTTTTCTTTTTCCAAAAAATATGTTTTTGACTGATTAAGAAATTTTAATTTTTAAAAAGATAACAAATAACCAAGTGCAAATAGCTCAATTGGTATAGATTTCTCGCAAAAGCCTAGAAGGCTAGAAGTCGCCACTTTGAATAGCATTTGGGACAAGACCATATAACATGCTCTGGTCTGGGGACTGAGAAAATGTATAGGTTCCGGTCCAGGATAAAAACAAATAAATATAGTTATTACAAATATTTTTTTTTTTAAAACTAATTTATATATATGACTATTGGTTACTAAATTGAATTACTTAAATTAAAAACAGCGGCGACAAGAATTGGCGAAAATGGTATTATAAATGTTTTAAGTTTACTGTAACGCCCCGACCACCATCTCTAGTGGCCCCCATGTTCACCACCAGCCTATGGGCCCACCTCTCTTGATGGGCCTCACGTCCTCTCACTAGGCCCATAAACCCATCAATATCCGACAGTCAGTTTGCTACGTCCGGCTTGTTTACAGACCCTACAAATCACCACATGATCTTTCCCTGTGTTTTGGCCTCACTCACACAGTTCCGACAACTACTTCCCGGAAGGTCACACATCCTTTGACTACTCCAGCATAAGCACACTTAACTGTGGAATTCTCTCAGAACCTTTAACCGAAAAGATAAGTGTACTTTGGTGACAGAGATGGCCAAGTCAATTCATTTAAACCTCACCGCAAACTTGAATCTCACATTTACCCATTTTCAAAATGTCATGATAAGCTATCTATCTAAGCTCTTCTTGCAAGACTAGCGAAAAGAACATCATACCGACCATGAGATATAATACACCACAGACGAGGTCTAGAACAAATAGCTTAAGGGAAGAGTTTAACAAGTCAATTGAGAGTCTCATCACAGTCATAGAACATGAAGAATATGAAAGAAAGTACTTTAAGGAATCAAGGCGTGGAGAATTAGTAGGAAACAACTATACCGAGCTTGGAGCACCTCAAGAAACCAATATCATCAAAGGGGATCAAGGGAATGGTGACTTGCAACTCAAGACTCAAGCTACTTCTTTGTTGCCGGTTTTACAACATATCAGAGTCAGTTTTTTCACTATCAGTCTATCACCAATACGTTCAAGGAAAGGCTAGAGTTTGCAATTTGTTAGGGACATCTTAACCAATGGTGGCAAGGTAAGTGTTAGGATTTGAATTTCTAACTAGTTTCCTTTTTTCTATTTTCAAAAAAAAAAATATTTTATTTTATGTCTTTTTTTATTTGTAATTTGCACGGTTGTTTAGTTTCCTTTTTTATCCTCTCCATTTCAAAACATTATATGTTTTATGGCTTCTTTTTTTCAAAATAAAAATAATTTCTCATTAATACTATTAATTGGGAAGGACAAAGTGTTTCCGAACAGAACTCATTATTAAAAATAATTTCATAAAAATTATACCTGTTGGCAAACAGAATTAAAGACGGCAAATATTATTTTAATAAATAAATATTAAAAAACAGAAACTATCTATATTTATGGAAATCATATTATTTTTTTTCCTAAAAAAGTGGATTAAAAAATTCTTTAATATTTAATAAAATCTAATTTATAGTATTTTTTATTTGGTTTAATGGTTTTATTCAAGTGGTTTATGTTACTTTTATTTTGTATAACTATTATGATATGATAATATATTTATTTAGCCTTACAAAAATCATCATTATTTTATATTAAATGATACTTCAGGAAAAATAAAAAGAAAAATAAATTTGTTATATATTATAAAATAGCATAAAATATGGAGAAATATTCAACAGAATTGATAATGTGATAAAAATGATAAAATCTTAAATAAATAATTGAAATGTTTAAATAAAATCAATAATAAAAATATGTTTTCAAAAATCAATAGAATAAATATTTTATACCACATACAATCTCCTTTTCACATTAAAAATCTTGATTAGAAATGAGATATTCATATATTTTCTTGAAACAAAATAAAAACACAAAATAGCATGTGGCCGAAAATAAAATCGTCAAATAAACATTCATTATTATTAACATCAATTTAATAATATATTGACCACCCAATCTCGCTGGATATTAACTTATATGCATTTAGTATTTAATAATTTTTTAAAAGTTCAGGAAATCATATCACATGATTATTATATTTTCCAGATAATATAACAATGACAATCCACAAAACAATTAAAAAGTTAATGTATGCTACAAATAAATAAATAAAATCAAATAATTATGATTAAATAATGGAATCAAATAGCTATTTGAATTTCCATTACTTAATCTATATTTACCATACCTACTTACTAAAATATTGAATATATATTTTATTCAATTGATTCATTTCTTTTTGAAGATTGAATTCGAGATAAGTTCGTAGTTTATAAATGAGACTCTTTGGTTACATTTCTTTTAATTTTATGGTAACACAAAATAGACCATTATACTCTAATTACAGGCTATAAGTTTCAACAGCCTAATAATTAAGGGACAATTCTAAAAATACCCCTTTTGGGTGTTCCCTTTTTAAAAATACCCCTACAAGGGGAGCATTTTTAAAACTACCCCTGTTTTAATGCCAAAAGACGATTTTGCCCTGGTTTATGTTAAACCTAAAAAATCTTTGGTTCACAATTCTCTCTCTCACGAAATCGATCTCTTTCTCGACGGCTCGACTCCGGCGAGAATCCTGCTTCTCCTCTCTATCACAACTCCGATTCCATCTACTCCGGCGAGAATCCTGTCTCTGTCCGCCTCGGACTCCTCTCTCTCTCTCGATTCTGGTTTCTCGAGGACTCCTCTCCTCTCTGTCTCACATTCCTCATCGGCGTCGTTATCGGTTGAGGACTCCTCGTCGTCACACAAAATCGCCTCGCCGTGTCTTCTCTCTCTTGGCCATGTAAGTGCCCTATGTTATCTCTTACTTGTTAATTGTTTAGGGTTTGCCAATTTAGGGTTCTTGTTTAGATCGATTGAGATTAATTGTTGGAGATTGATTGAGATTAATTGTTGGAGATCGATTGAGATTTACTGTTGGAGATCGATTGAGATTAATTGTTGGAGATCGATTGAGATTAACTGTTGGAGATCGATTGAGATTAAACATATATTTACTACAATTGTTCAGGGATGGCTTTAATCAATTTTGAAAACCTTATAGAAAATGAAAATCATAAAAACTTTGTAAGAAATGGTTTGTGCATCAAAAGTTGTAGTCTCATAAGCATTTTAAAAGGTTTTTAAACATTTGGGTTAAAATATTTTGGTTTTTGATGTTAATAAACAGATGGAGAGTAGTGAACCGGTTGATTATCTTCTATTACCTAACGGTATATATGAAGATGGAAGTGAACCATTCTCTCAAGCATCAATAATACAGCATACGGATTTTAAACTAATTTGGAAAGTTAAAGCTGTTTTGAGCGATGAATCGTTCAAGCAGCTAGAGGATTCTTTCC